TTGACTGGACCGAAGAACCACTATTTAGGAGACTAGCTGAGCTCAATGATGACTATCTCCTGAAGTTGGTTGAAGAAATCCTAGGTTTAGTACCCATCAGCTGAAACAGGAGCTCATAGCCATCACGACACAGCAGCTGTCCATTTGCATCGCCTTGGAAAGACATGGAGATTCGGAGATATGGATAAGTTTTGATCTGGGTAGTCACGACCTCCAAATGAGGAGGGATTCATGCCTAAACTTGATGACTTTCCGACGCACCTTCGCATGGCTGCAAGACTTAATCACTGGCGACGAGAAGTGTGTTCCCTACTTAAACCACACGAGGAAGCGCCAGTGACTTAGATGCGTAGAGCATGGAATCCCGACCTTCAATCCCGAATTCCTACCTCAGAAGGCAATGCCAAGCGTTTGTAGCCATTCAACAGGATCGTTCGCTGGGGCTTTCTACCACCAAACTCCGCTGTCAGCACTGAAGCCCAGTGTGCTCTGTGATTGCTGCAGCTCTAAAAGAGAAACTCGGGAAGTCTCTTTTCTCCACGACAGTGCTCGCCCACACTTTTCTAAGGAGACCTACAAGAAGCTTCAAAGCCTGAGATGACATGTTATGGCACACCCACCGTATTCACCAGACCCAACTCCAACGGATTATCTGCTCCTGTCGCTGTCGGACCTTCCAAAAAATAAGAAGCTCGATTATGTGAATCAACTCGAAACGTACATTGACGAGTTTTCCTCCTCGAAACCTCAGGAATTCTACGCAAGCAGGAACCACAAGTTGCCTGGTGAATGACAGTACCTTGTCGATACTCAAGTTACATATGCATGTTAATTATTAGTTGTCGTGAAGGAAAAAAATAAATTCAAAAAAAGATTGCAAAAGGCGCAAATACTTTTCCGACAACCTAATATATACTAGTAGGATTATTAGGTTCAGTAAGAAGTTTTGATCAACTCGTCACCACTTTCTAAATTCTTTCCTACGACCGCTCAAAAGGACATCATAATGGGTTATGGTAGACCGATCCCTAACCTGTACTATGGGTAGTTATATAAGCATCCCCTTGTAAGTGCTTCGCAAATTTGACTTTAAGCTTCAATTGTCATCCGAGCTGTCTGATTGTGAGAATTATCACCTATCAAGAATTACTGTAATATATCGACGGCTGTTGCAGATATCTGTGGTGCACCCAGAAGAGTCATCGTATCTCAATCCACGGGTTCCTCATGACGAAACACCTTCTAAACATGCAGAAAAGTGGGCTACATCCGAGGATGGTTTTACTGTGCCATCGGTGGGATTCTCAGGGAATGCTCTACTTCGCAGAACTTACTGAGAATTCCACCGTAACCGCCGAGATTTGTGCTTCTCAGCTACAGAGTTTGGCCGACCTTGTTCGAAGGAAGCGTTCGCAGCGAGGAAATGTTTGTCTTTTTCAGGACAGTGCTCGACCGCATGTTGCGAAATTGTGTCGTCAGAAAATTGCCGAACTTGGATGAAAAGTGCTGTCCCTTTACCTTTATTCGCCAGGTCTTGCTTCGACTGATTACCAGTTGCTCTTTGCTCTGAAAACATCACCTTTGCAATAGTAATTTTATGATTGTTTGGAACTCAAAACCTGAGATTTCCAGTTTTTCGAAACATGGCCGCTCTGGGCTTCAGGAATTCAAAACTGCCGGGTCGTTGGACCGGCAGTTTTAGATTCCTGAAGCCCAGAGCGGCCATATGTTGGATACGGCGATAAAGGGTATATTACTAATTGAGATTCTCTTTTGATGACAATAAGACTTCTTGATGTTAAGATGAAAAACCGATCAAAACTTTAATCAACCTAGCCTCCAACCTCCTCTTCACTTCAGCTGTTGCAAAACTTATTTATGCCCTAGTGACAGTCATGGTAATTGGAAGCTAATTATCGAGATGTTCGAAAGGCGCATGAGGAAAATTCCACAAATGCCCAGACTTTTCCGTCATGTTTTGAAAACTCATTCAGAATTACCATAAAGGGACACCACTCTGTCTCATGCGCACAACATTGACATTTCATACCACTCGGTTGTCCAGATCTAGACTTGTCTTCGATCTTGTTTCGGGTTTTGAGGGGCTCGAACAAAGGATGACGATACTTCACCGTTGCGTCATTATCTTTCCACTGGGAATTTGAACCTTTTCCTTCACAGCGCGCGATCGGATGCGGCGGAGGAGACACACGTAGCGAAGTGACAGTATTTGAACACGTATTACGTATTAGGTGCGGGGTCACGATTCGGCCTTTATGGGGTCAAATAAGCCAATGAGTCATTCCATGGAAGCTCTCAAAAAAAACTGGACTATTGGAAAACGTATAACATATACTTCCATATACATACATATACTTAGTGCTTTGTCGTGCACGTTCCACATCAATTCGAAACCCTGCATCATTAAATAGCTACCACCAACAATCACAGTGGCTCGTTCACGATTTTGAAGGTATAAGGGATTCAAGGCATAGGAATTCTGAACGGATGTGGAATTCAAGACATAAAACCAAAGCATCGATCACTCGAGAAAGTTACCATCTACCTCTCCGGAGAATGCATAAGGCATAGCAAATGACTTATACTTTTTCAGCCTGACAGGGGCACTCTTTTTCAAATTTCTCGTTAGATTATTCACACAAGATTTCGTTTCGTTCTTTAAGCCTCGTTTCCCCGAAAATTCTTATTGTATGTTATTCTGAATCATTCGAATTTTTTTAATGCCTTATGTAGTCAAATTTTCAAAGTATTTGTATTGGCACATTTGACTCTAAGTCCCCATTTGACTAAACGTCTCGCCTTGAAAAGTCATGAATGTTCTTCACAATAAATTGCCCATGCTGATATCAGACCTAAGCAAGAACTTTTTACGACAATCTGGTTTATCATCCTACTTATATAATCGGTTAAGTGTGTCTGTTGGTGTGTTTGTGTGTGTTCGTGTGTGTGTCAGTATGTGTATGTGTTTGTCCGACCGGAAAATCCCAACTCTCGTCCCACTGTAGCTGAAGCATTCAAATTTGAAAAAGAGATAGGCGGCACGATGTGAACAGCGATGTTAAGTGATAGGAAGTGACAACAATCAGTAGAAACTGATAAGAAGCAAAATCCACAGGATCCGTAACTCCCTTCGTAATAGCGATGAAGCCTTGGCACTTTTGTAGGTGGTGTAGGACGTGACGAGACCGTTAATGTTTGGTGACAGGGAATGATACCGAGTGATAGAGACTGATAGGAAGCCATAGGAGAAGGCATGTAGGTCTGTCTTCCTGTTACTAGTGGATTCTTGGTAATTGCTGATGTAAAATGTGACAAGATCGTAGGTACTCGGTGACGGGATCGAGAACGGTTAGTGCAGTGCCAGGAGCTGATAAAACTGATAAGGGCTAGTAAAAGTCCTCGAAAGCGGAGAGCCACTATAATACTGGCATTAGTAGTGGAGCCTTGACTGTTGGGTATGTGATGTGGAGTATGGCGGAATCGTAGAAGACCGATGATAGGAACTGATAACAGCTGATAGCGACTGATAAGTGCACATACGAACTGAATTCAACTCCTGTGGTATTTACGATGTATTTATGATTACGACCATTATATAGATTACGACCGCTACCCAGCAAGGTTTGTAACTCGGTGGAAGATCAAGGTTACTTAATGTTTTGATATCATTTACGACAAAGCTCATCCGACCGCCAATAATTCGGGATTCTCAACTAATGATGTACCCGTAGAAGAAGGAGGATCCTGCGACTTCGTATAATGGTGTTATCAACACTTGAGAACATTTGTGAGCACTACTCAGTCTTTTGGTTGCCTATCAGTTAACCTTCAACGGTCCATCATTTTCAAGATAAAGAGCAATCGACTGGCACTTTTAATCGTAGGCGTAAGTATCGCCACACCCTAAATACCATTGGCGCTGCCCTGCTTGTGCCAGCTCCCCTCTTTTTGGGTCCTGTGCCAAAGTTGTGTAGAGTGTGTCGAATTTCGTGTTCAGAAAAGTATAATCCGTTCCAAGAATTGGTTGGGGGGGGGGGCGGCTGCCGATTACTAGAACTTAAAGAAGGAGGAAAGAACGGCGCCAGCCGGGCGGTCTGACTTTCTCTATATATAAAGCGGTAATAATCTCCAAGCGGAAATTTTATGTGTCTGTTTGTATGCCCGTTTGTGCGTCCTTCCGAAAGTCACGTAGGTTCAACGAAGAGCGTGTAGGAAATGGGAGGTAAACCGATACTATTATATTGGTCCTCTAACAATCGTAGGTAAGCGTTGGAGGGTATGTGGTGCACGCATTAGCGTGCGTAGCCCAGCTGGTAAAACACATAATGCGCTAAGTGTGTCTGTTGATTTGTCCATGGTTGGTACTTGTATCGGTGCGTGTGCACCACCGGAATTTCATGATTGCTGCTCCCCTGAATCCATAAAGCTCAAATTTGTTGGATGTGCAGGCGGCAGAATGGGAGTAATGGTGTGAGGTGACACGACTCGCCTCCGCAAACGGGGGCGGGTAGTGCTGAAAAAAATGTCAATATCTGCCATGGGCTTTCGAATTCTGAAGGAGTACCGGCACTATAGCAATAATGATGCGGCAGTATAGAAGTACTGGTGGCAGTTGGCGAGACTGAACTCCACCAACCGGGGGCGACGCCTACGTGATGATCGCTGGTTTCTACCTTAGGCTTTCAAAGACGACAGGTTTGAGACACTGATGGTGGGCAGTGCAGGACTTAGGACTCGAGCGGAACTTCGCTCATGAAGAGCTGGAGAGTAATAATCGCGCTGAAAATTAACAGTTCCTGCTAACTTGTTCGACGCAAGGAGGAGGAGAGCCCAAGCAATAGCAGAAGGATCCGACTGTTGTTAAAGCACGATGCTGGCGATGTTTGCTAGGACACCGCAAAGGGATTTCAACAGTCTCTTATTTTTTTGCCAGCAACGATTAAGTTCGAAATTGAAGACGATGCAGGAAAAAATAAGAGTCACACCGAGAAAAGTCCATTTGAAGGCTGCAACTCAATATAGACTGTGTAAAGCCTGTCTACTCCGACTTGCAGTTCTTCTATGTCCATGGCCTAAAAATGCACATACTTTCATATGTCTTTGCCGCAATCAGCATAACTTTATTTACCCTCTTATATTCTTGCTTCAGACATTTTTCTGCATAACCCATTCTTTCCAACGTGCGATTCAATTCGTCAGCAACAAAAAAGCCGAGTACTCTTCTTAACAACTCGCTCCTTAAATGTGATGCTGTCACTCGCCCCCACCCCTCATAAAATCGCTAATCGTAAGTGTGGCCCGACTTGCAGTCAGCAAGTCGACACCAGAGCGTTGGGCCTAATCAGCGCCCTGGTGTCGACGTGCTGACTGCGAGAGTCGGGGCACAAGGCGCCTTAGTCAGTATCCTTCATTCAAATGTTGAAGATGAAGGGTTGTGTCCGTGGATGTGGCGATGTCGGTTAAATGTTTCAAGCCCCGTCACCTTCTACATTCATTATACCAGTTACATCAATGCCGGTGCTTCAAAACAAGATCGCTTCACGTGCAGCAATTCGCTTCCGATGCACTGACACCGATGCCATATGTTTGCCCTATGCCTGCCCTATGTCCTAATCAAATGTGGTTGAAGTTTGTTTGCTTTCAAATTACGTACGTTACATTCTTCTTTTCGTACTGACAAATGCAATAGTCGAATGGAATTGGAAGTGTCTGACAGTTCCTTGTTCCTTGCCATTTTCGCAGCAAAGATGAACCTTTGCTGATAGACAGCATTCTGCGTTCCGTAGTGTCCGAGTATTTTGAATGTGGCTGATACTATAAAGTCAGATAATATTGTTGGTGGGCAGCTGCTACAAGAGCAATGTGACGACTTAAAGTAGTGTTCTCAGGTGTTGACATGAAATTATAATGTGATGCGTACATGCAAAATGTCGTTTAGTGTAGCATGAATATCGAAGTGGGTCATCAGCTGCATGGACTTGGCTCGTAGCTCTTCATGCATTGCGGTGTTTTGCATCCTTTTCGGGAGAGCCATCAGAAAAAAAGGGTTCCGATTTTCATATCGTCCAAGTCGAACGGTATGAATCTAAAATGAATTGGGTGAAAATTACGAATATAAACAAAAGATATTGTAAACACATGCGGCCCAATTCGCACATATGTGCGTATAACTGAAGTAAAAAAAAAACATCGTGTCGCTGAAGTAATTCTTGAAACACATTACAGGACGAGTCGAAATTATGAAATCAAAGCGAACTTTTCGAAAAAACGTGGTTTGAGCTCGATCCAGAGAGACGTTTTGTATTTTTGAATCCTTTAAAGAAACAGTCCGGCACAGGCTCTAGGACTGAAGAAACGCGTCGACCGTGGTGAGGGAGGTGGTTTGCGATTAAAATGTCCATAATCCAGGTAATTGAAGTGGGCGAGACCTTCTTCATGCTCTAGGCCCAAAATACTTTATACAAAGAAATCAGGCGGTACGAAATCCGCTGAACTAGCAGGCCACTGTCCACATTAACTAAATTTGGGAAGTACTGTTCACACCCAAATCCTACGGAGTTTAGCTTGGTATCTTTTTATTGTTTGCATGCTTTCCTATTTGACTGATTTTTACAACTCTACTCATGGCTCTAAGAACAGGACACTCCCTTGCAGCTTTCAGCAATAACTATCTGGTTCTGAGCAGTCAGAAACATTTGCCAGCTTCGTGAATCATGCGATAGCATTTGAAATAGTAAGCCTCGGTACAATCAAATGACGAGAGAACACACATTAGAACGATGGCTCTAGAACAATCAATACAGTAGAACGATGGCTTCATTGCTTACGGGAAAAGCGGAATTTTTTTTGTCAGGTGAAGAACTATTATACAGTCGACCAGTGAGACAAAACCGTCAAAAAGTAGAAAAATCAACAGCTTTTGTCCCGACAACAGCAAAAGTTGTCAGGACAAAAGCTTTGCAATCGGAGGTATGCATCTAAGCTCTGGCTATTGCTAAAACGCGCCAAACTGTAAAATTCAACTGTTCGAGAAAATCTCAAAACATGGGAGCGAAAAAACTGCGAATGATGACTCACATCTGAATAGCGTGGCCCATGGTCCCCGAAAAAAAAGAGGAAGGAGTGCTCAAGGTTTTTCTGATTTTTTGTGAAGAACTTCAAAAACTGATCATCCGTGTGATAGAGTAAATTTACAGTGTCGTGAGCCAGATCAGTTAACCAAACTAGAGAGATCTTTGGTATTCCTGAAAATCATCAAATTACTAAAGTCGCAATAATTATTAGTCACGGGTGCTAAAAAATATTGGTTGCTCTATTGACTTGATTGTCTTCGTCGTTAATTTTCTTAATACAGCCATATTGATCAGTTCATACCTCCATGGTAAAAGCTGTTACTCGGTGGAAGGGTGTCTGTGAGTAACATCAGTCAACATCATAGTAGACTACCCTCGGCCTTGAACCCTTGTCATCGTTCCCCAATAGGCCTAGAATACTTTCCTACAGCAGCGCAATTTACTTACCGGTGAAAGTGGTTAGGGAAAATCTTCCGCAAGCATAGCATGTCGAATGCTTATTTGGAGCAGCAGGAAATGTCATGTTTTAGGGAACATAAGGAACTCGCGGAAGCAGGATCCGTTATATTCCCCAAAAATTTGTTTGGCGAGTGGAACTGTGACCCTGCCAAACAAATTTTTGGGGTAACCTAGGGTTTGATAGCTCGTCACAGCCAACAGGACTCTTACGCAACCCTGTTCTATGCTTCGATCAAGCTAAACGAAGTTGTTCCATTTCCTATTCATTTAGTTATTTATTCATTCGAAAGAGATCACATTATTTCAATGCGTCGTTGCATGCTTCTTCTCCATAGATAGGGTCGTTTGCAGCTACTCTCATCCAAGCTTCTCTGCCGAGAAGCAAAGGAGTCTCGTCATCTTGACTTTGGCCGGTCATTAGATCTCCAATTTTGTGGCCGCCATTCGGTTATTATCTCGGTCCAACTACTATTTTTCTTTTTTNTTTTTTCGGACCTCTCTCGCCCACGTCCACTTTCCTCTGGTCGCTTGCGCCGGTATATCAGGGACTTTTTTGATGGTTTCCAACCAAACATTGGTACGATGATGTGAAACAGTTATTATTATGTATCATTTTCCGCATCATCCCTCGCTGTGCAATTTTCAACATCGTGACATCTCTTCTCTTCATCGTCCACGTCCACGGTCCACGTTTCACAAACATAAAGAATTGCCGGTTCTACACAAGTTTCGACGCGACATTTATACCTCATTGGACCTCTTCTGTTGGTGAGAAAAAAACGGAAGCGGTTGAATGTGCTCCATACAGTTCGAATTCTTCTTTGTATTTCGCTGTTGTTTTTATCGAAGGTAGATGAAATCGCTGCTCGAGGTAGATGAAATCTGTACAGTATTGCATATTATTATATCCATCGATGGCAACGGGTTGGATCGCAGAGTTGGTCATATTGAAGTATTTGAAAAGCTGATTTTGAGACCGGTTCGATTTTACTCGTACACCTGTTTTAACACTGTTTGAATTTTTCAGATGTCATGAGCTACAATAACCACAACGTCTGTATATCTAAGGTGACTAAAATAGGTCTCATTTATTTTGATCCCTACGTCGCTCAGTTCGATTCTTTGAAATACTGTTTCCACTGAAGCAGCGGAAAGAGGAACAAGTGAAATAGGTGAAAAAGGTGATTTTCTTCGAAGTATCCTAACAATGTTCCAACTCGAATTCGATTCATTGCTTGCAATGAGGATAGAACCGGAATGTTCAGCTTTGCATTCGAGTGGCTAGTAGGCCAAATGGTGCGCTGTTACACCTCAAAAGCACAGCTCACGGTAGAAAGGGTTTTTTTAGGTATCCACCCTGGTATGAATTTCCGACTCCGACGTGTACCATATATGGCGCTGTGAGATCATAAAACGTATATATAGATAGGGCGTAATACAGTCTCGAGAAACTTATCCGCTGCATGCCACACCCAGAGGTGGTCGTGTATCAAAAATCTCGAATAGGCAGCACTATTCCAAATGGAGTAAGTACGCTAAGAATTAAAACAACTAGTGATCCGTGGCGACAGTGAAGATGAATTTTTGGAACTCTGCCTAATTGTAGTCATCTATACGCAATTGCACACAACCGACATTCTACTCAAAACACCTTTTTGTCGTTCTAATCCCGTACACCCCTCTTTTCTTATTGATTGTCGGGGCCTTTTTTCTCGTGAAACCCCAAAATCCCAATTTTCATGAACACTTTGCTTTATTTGCACCATTCTGCACCGTAAGTGAAATCATTTTGCTTGAGCTAGCTATCTTGGAATTACTGTGAACTGTGCCTTCAAGATGTAGCTCACAGCTTCAACTAATTCATACATCTGCTTTGAAACTATGGAAAAGACTGTATGCAGCCTTTAGTGATTTCACCTGTATATGCATTCATGAACATTTCCAAGTATTGCAGCATGTAGAGATGTGATTCACCACAGGTTGCCCCCAAAAGTTTTTCAGTGTATATCTTCTCATGCATTTGTATGTGGAACGGTCTGAAACAAACATGTTACTAAAGTCAGCAATCATATGATATAATAAAAATTTGATCTTTTACAAAGCAGATGAACCCAAAAACTATAATACTCTTTGCTGGCTGTACCGTAGTGCCATGTTTTATGGCACCGCAGTTCCTTTTTCGAATGATAACAGGTGCCAACTTCTGTTGAAGACGTCAAACAAGGCGAATACGAGGAGTAAACGATCGCGTATCGAAGAAGAACAGGAAAAGTAGCATGAACCTGTCCAAGAATGTTTGTGTCAGTAGTAGATTCCGCGGGCTTGGGAAGATTAATTTGGAGAGTCCTTCGTGCGAAGTTCCTAGGCTAACCGGCTCTCGAAAAGCGGTAGAAGTCGCATGCCACAGACTACTCTCAACAGGATCCTGGTCATCAAGCAGAATTAATAGCTGATGGCCATGAGGAGAGAAGACTTTCAAATGCAAAATCCATGCCAATAGACATCAGAAGCTCGTCAAACGCAAAATCACATCACACAGGCTGAGCGGATAAGTCTCTGAGCACATACTTCGGTTCTTTCCAGTACTGCATCTACTTTCTGCCCACCAACTGTAGAAATAGCTTTCCATAGGCTGTTGGAGTTGTTCGTTCGATCTTTCCATAGCTATAATGTTGGTGTGAGCGCTTTTCGCAGCGCATAATGGTAAACCAGAGGTGTTTCTGCCAAAAGTCGTCGGAACTTCGTTTTAACTATTTTATCTGAGATGTAAGGAAGTCTCTTGGAGACAAATTGTAAAGACTGTTCCACTGTGTAGGAGAGGAGACCTTTGTCGATATCCTAATTGTGGTAGTCGATCCACCAGCTGCCTGCGATCTGCGAGCTGTTCATACAAGTCATTCGAGGAAATTTTTGTTTATATTGCGACAAAAGAAAAAATGATCTAGCATTTGTAGCTTTGGAAACGACTACGTGCTTCCATCAAATTCAAATGCCTGGTAAATTAAATTGATAATGTTGTCGATGCTGAGATTGAAGTTAAACTCGGACATTGAGATGACACGTTCTTCCTTTCAATATCATCTCTGTAGATATGAATGGAGCATGTTCGTTGAGTCAGGGAAACTCCCTGATTCAATTCGATTTGCATTTGCCTTATAACCACTACAAGCCATGAATGGGTGCTTCACCAGTAGTTTTTGTTTTATCGAACTGTAAGTACGGGTATGATGGAAGAGATGCGAAGAATTCAAGCTATACAAGTCACTAGCTTGGCGGCCATAGGCCGAAAGGCTCTGAGAGACGCGTTCTCGGCATCACCAACTCTAAGCAAGAGTTCAGCACTAGTCTTATAAATGTCATGCATCGACTATAATAAAACGGCTGAGCGTTAAGGTAAAATTCACGAAATACAACCACATTCCACGGATCTACATTTATGAGCTGTACCTATCACCGAAGGATCCATAGCCGGTCCACGACTGGGCGGGGAGAACTTGCGGGTGCGATGGGTGTCCTGTATCAGAGTCAGTCAGGAGGTTGCACTCGAATGATTGGAAAATATCGGTAAGCTGTTCGGGTGGCTTCTGACAAATAATCCCTTTATTAGGTATCTAGCTTGCTGGGAGGAGTCTAGCTAACTACGAGTTAGAGCCTGACAAACTAACCAGTATCTGAACTCAAAAACGAAAATATGAACAGAGCTCAATCCCCCAATCTGAGGGAGCCCCCAAACAAAACTCTGGGTAGAATCGCTTGGGAGAGAGTGCTCAAATCTCAGGGCCATGCCAAGTGTTCTAAGAAGAGCGGCTGAGGTGGCGATCCGTGTTTTGAGGCACAAACGCTTAGTATTCCTCGAAATATGCGAAGCAGAAGTATTCTTAACAAGATGTTCTTGGCCATTAACGTTGTTTCGCACAAAAGCTTCATAACCTGAATCGAACGTCCGTGGCTAAGGAGATATGGATTGCCTAAAATTTTACGATTTCCGCTGCCTACGCACTAACATCAAGCTAAAAAGAAGAAAGCTGTTATCCTTCTTTTGGGCGGGAAACGGCTTACCAGAAATGGCTCCTTTTTCTTAAACTCAAAATTGATCCTCGAAGGAAGATTGAAAAGGTTCACATAGAACTTCAGTAACGTAATGGAATGAGCATGGTGAAATACTGCCCGATTTTGTCATTCAGTCTAGCTTTTTTCATGGTAATCAGCAAAAACTTTTTCATTCACGTTAGACAGTTACTGCATCTCACAAGAAAATGGAGAAGGTCGTATAAATCTTGTTTCTGATGACTCAGCAACACTTGTATTAACTCTCACTCTTATCCTTACAACAGAGAAAAAAGGCGCTGTGAGGTGATCTCAGAGTGTCTGAATACACCGAAGACATTACAGCAAAGAGACGGCATGATTGGCATGACGGGAATGAACAATGTAATATACAGAGTCGCGATTGGTTGCGATAGATCGCGACACGACTTGAACCAGGCTCTCACGATCTTCGACCGCTACATGTATCTCTCTACCTACCACCTTAGGCAGGAAGCTGTTGCATGTTGCCTCTTCAGTTCACCCTTACAAAATTGTGGATGTCATAACGACAACGAAAAATTTACGGCGCCCGCTCTAGGTAGGATCAATCAGAACACATGGTTCTCCCGCCAGCTGTGATCCTGACTAAGCTCTTCATACGGTAGCTGCCGGCATGCAAAGTGTCTTTTGGTGGGAATTTAGTATAACTGCATGCTTTTATAAGAAGGGAGATTCGGACGATATGGCAACCAGCACGTAGTATACCTGCTGGCCGTGATCTATTAACTTTTCCCAGGCCGCCCTCCACCCAACATTCAGCCAATGCCAGGAGTGATCCTGGCACTGGCTGAATGTTGGGTGGAGGGTAGGCATACGAGCTACCAAGCTTTCAGAAAGCGTACCATCAATAACATGTCGGTCGCATGTCTTGCACCAGGCTCATCAAAAGAAAGTACAAGGTGCCGTCATGACTTACTTTCATCATTTTGGAGAGAGCGTCTGACACACAGTGTGGCTCCCAGTGTGTTCCTGCTC